AAAATTTCAAGTCTCTGAAGAAAGAATTAGAGGAAGATATGAGAAGATGGAAAGATCTCCCATGCTCATGGCTTGGCAGGATTAACATAGTAAAAATGGCCATCTTACCAAAAGCAATCTACAGATTTAATGCAATTCCCATCAAATTGCCAACACAATTCTTTACAGACCTGGAAAGAAAAATTCTCAACTTCGTATGGAATAACAAGAAACCGAGAATTGCTAAAACAATCCTCTACAATAAAAGATCTTCTGGAGGTATCTCCATCCCTGATCTCAAGGTGTACTATAGAGCAACAGTTATAAAAACTGTATGGTACTGGCATAGAAACAGAATGGTGGATCAATGGAATCGAACAGAAGACCCAGAAATAAACCCACACACTTACGGACACCTGATTTTTGACAAAGATGCCAAAACCATACAATGGAAAAAAGATAGCATCTTCAACAAATGGTGCTGGTCCAACTGGATGTCTACATGTAGAAAAATGAAAATAGATCCATACTTATCACCCTGCACAAAACTGAAGTCCAAGTGGATCAAAGACCTCAACATAAAACCAGACACATTAAATCGGCTAGAAAAAAAAGTGGGGAATACCCTAGAACTCATTGGTACAGGAGAAAACTTCCTGAACAGAACACCAACAGCACAGGCTCTAAGAGCAACAATCAATAAATGGGACCTCATGAAATTGAAAAGCTTCTGTAAAGCAAAGGACACCGTCATCAAAACAAAGCGACTGCCTACAGATTGGGAAAGAATCATCACCAACCCTTTATCTGACAGAGGACTCATATCCAATATATGTAAAGAACTAAACAAGCTGAAAAGCAACAAACCAAGTAATCCACTTAAAAAATGGGGAACAGAGCTAAAGAGAGAATTCTCTGTAGAGGAATATCAAATGGCAGAGAAGCACTTAAAGAAATGCTCAACCTCATTAGCCATTAGGGAAATGCAAATCAAAACAACCCTGAGATTTCACCTTACACCCATCAGAATGTCCAAGATGAAAAACTCAAGGGACAACACATGCTGGAGAGGCTGTGGAGAAAGGGGAACCCTTCTCCACTGCTGGTGGGAATGTAAACTGGTACAACCACTCTGGAAATCAATCTGGCACTTTCTCAGACAACTAGGAATAGCGCTTCCTCAAGATCCAGCCATACCACTCCTAGGCATATACCCAAAAGAGGCACAAGTACACAAAAAGGACTTTTGCTCAACCATGTTTGTAGCAGCTTTATTTGTAATAGCCAGAAGCTGGAAACAACCCAGATGCCCCTCAACTGAAGAATGGATGCAGAAACTGTGGTACATCTATACAATGGAGTATTACTCAGCAATGAAAAATAAGGAAATCATGAAATTTGCAGGTAAATGGTGGGACCTGGAAAGGATCATCCTGAGTGAGTTGTCCCAGAAGCAAAAAGACACTCACGGTATATACTCACTCATATAAACATACAATATAGAATAAACCCACTAAAATCTGTACATCTAAACAAACTAAGCAAAAGAGAGGACCCTAACTAAAATGTTCAATCCCCATCCTGAAAGGCAAAGAGGATGGACATCAGTAGAAAACGAAAATAGGAAACAACCTTGGAACCCGCTACAGAGGGCCTCTGAAAGCCAGAAGAAAACAGGAAACAACCTTGAAACCTGCCACAGAGGGCCTCTGAAAGCTTCTGCAGTATAGACTGTCAATGCAGATGCTGAGCCTGATGGCCAACTGATGGGCAGAGTGAATGGAATTTTATGTAAGAAGTGGGAAAAAGTAAGAGCTGGAGGGGATGGGAACTCCACAAGCAGAGCAACAGAACAAGATAATTTGAACACAGGGAACTTCCCAGAGACTCATACTCCAACCAAGGACTATTCGTGGAGATGACCTGGAACCCCTGCACAGGTGTAGCCCATGGCAGTTCAGTGTCCAAGTGGGTTACATAGTAATGGGAAGAGGGACTGCCTCTGACATAATCTGATTGGCCTGCTCGTTGATCACTTCCCCCTGAGGGGGGAGCAGCCTTACCAGGCCACAGTAGAGGACAATGCAGCCACTTTTGATGAGAACTGATAGACTAAGATCAGAAAGAAGAGGAGAACCTCTCCTATCAGTGGACTTGAGGAGTGGCATGCATGCAGAAAGGGGAGGGAGGGTGGGATTGGCAGGGGAGGAGGGAGGGGCTTATGGGGGGATACAAAATGAATAAAGTGTAATTAATAAAAAAAGATTAATTCAAATATCAAATAAAAATATTTACAAAAAAAAAGAACATTGGTTGAGCAATTCTTTAAGTGTTTCTCTGCCATTCTATATTCCTCTACAGAGAATTCTCTGTTTAGCTCTGAACACCTTCCTCCCCCCCCTTTTTTTTAAAATTGGCTTACTTGATTTGTTGCTTTTTAACTTCTTCAGTTCTTTATATATTCTGGATATTAGCCCTCTGTCAGATATAGGGTTGGGGAAGATCCTTCCCAGTCTGTAGGCTGTGTGTTTTATACTTTTGTTTTGAGTTACAGAGCTCATTCAGTGTTGCCCATATGTGTATATGTCGGGCCATCTATTGGAATATGGGTAGGTAGCGTCACAAGGAGTTATACCTGAAAAAAAGCTGACTCTCTCTTCCCCAGCAGCCACCACTAGCAATAGCTTCTCAGCTACGGCTGAGAATTCATGAGCACCTTCCCAAGTGTGCTAGGCTCTTGGCGGGAATGATCTCGTGCAGGTCTATGTCCTTTCCACAGTTTTGATGCCATGATTGATTTCACAGTGTTGATTTCATGAATGAAAGCAATCCTCTAGCATATGTTTTTTCTTTCTAGTTTCACTTCTTTTCTCTCTTTATCTTTCGTTCCTTTAATTAACTGATTGGTCTACAGGAACTATGTCATTATGTACTCCAGGCTGGCCTTGAACATGTAACCCTCCTCCATAATTTTATTTTATTTTTCCATTTCCTGAACTTCAGAACTGGCCACATGAAGCCTCTCCTTTTAAACACTTGTTTGAAGCAATAATGCTGTGTTGAAATTGCATATAATTGATAGATCATCACAATTTAATAAATTATGCCAAATCTCTGCATTTGTGTGCCAAACATGGACAGATAAACTGGGGTTCTTGGGCATAATTGCCTTTCTTTTTAGAGGTAGTACATTAATGATATCACATTGTGGCAATTAAATTATGTTTAATAATCAAAGTTTTATAAATACGGGAAAATACGAAGTTAGTTCATCAGTTGAGTATGGCACTTCATCTTAAAACATGAAGTAGAGGGCAGGGTCCAGGAGGAGTGGAGGGAGGAGAAACTGCAGTCAAGATGTAATATATGAAAGAAGAATAAATTAAAAAGACAAAAACAACAACAACCCATAACTGTGTATCTTTGTCTTCTTTTAAAACTATTAAGTTGGGTTTGAACACATATACCAATATATGTTCCAAATGACAACACTCACATAGCAACAAAGGTGTTAAAAAATGTCTAGCCAGTTACTGTACTTCCAGTTATAATGATAGTTAAAATTTGTTACAATCAAGGAAAAATCTCATTAATGAGAAAAAGCACACTTTGTCTAACAGGATGGTGAGAGAAAAGGGAGAGATTTTTCAGTTATGGCCATTTCCATTTCATAGTTAACCAAGTAATGTATCCAAGGCCATAGGCCATTTGCCATCTTTCCTTGGCTTTCTCTCATCTCATTCCTACCTGATCTCAATCCTTCCATAGCATATGAGTATATTTAGAGGAAACTGTAGAAAACTAAATGAAAAAAAAAAAGATTAAAATGACTAATGTAGATTTATTAGGGCCTTAGGACTTACATTGTTTTATTTATTTTTACTGTTTTAAATTTATTTTTATGTGTATGAGTGTTTAGCCTTTACACATATGTCTGTGTACACCTGTGCGCCTAATATCCACAAATGCTAGAAAAGGATGTTTGGGTCCTTGGAACTGGTGTTAAAGAAAGTTGTGGGCTGCCGTGTAGGTGCTGGCAATGGAACCTGGGTTCTTTGGAAGAGCAGCCTGGTTTTAACCTCCTGAATTATTTCTCCACCCCTCATTATATTATTTTTAATATATTGCACTGTTTACTGAAGAAAGGAATGATGCTTCTGAGTATGAGTAAGAATATGGTAATAGATGCTAGTGCTGAAGATAAATATTTATGTCGTTAAAAATCAACCTTCCAGCATCTATAAAATTGTCATATTTTAATAACAAATACAAAATGAATGCTGTATTAAGAATATAGTTGAGGAGAAACTCTTCATCATCATACTAGTAAAGATGGCACGTTAGTCTCTTCAATTCAATAACACACTTAGGTTATAAAGCAGTGGGTGATGCATGATAGCATACTTGGGTTATGGTTTGAGAGATATCTCGGTTGGAAAGATACTGATGCAGCTCACAACAAATCAGAGAAATTCCCAACTACATAGCATCGAAGAAAAGTGCTCATGTGATTACTCATGCATTATAGTGAGTAGTTTTTTACCTTCCAGTGATTTTGGGAGTACAGAAGACATAAAACCATGAGACATTCCAATATCACGTAAGAAAAGAAACACATTTAGAATGAAACACACACCCAGGACTCATCCACAAATTCACTTAAAAAAAAAAAAAGAGCAACTTGAGGTGTCTTCATTTGTAATAGGGAATCAGGAGAACTGAAGCTCTGAGTATCACATTAGCAGCAAAATGAGGTACACTACATAAAACACAACTGGAAACTTCAGTTCAATTTTAGGGTGAAATTTTTCTTATCTTTCTTTTCTGTTTTTAGTATTTTCTATGTCCTGTTGCATTCTGGTCAGAACTATTTGCTGTAGGCCTAATTCAGCAGACATCCACTTGGAAAAGAATAAAACTTAGGGCCCAAGTTAGAATATTGGTTGGTGCACTTAAGAACACGAACAAGAAACAACTCTAGTACGTCAGCACTGTTAACACTGAAGCAGAATCGACTCTACCTTGCATTCTGGACAACCATGACTTGTCTGCATTGATTCCAGAAGCCAGAGTGAAGGGTACAACAGGAAAGACAGAAAGAAAGGAAGAAAAAAAGTTAGGAATAGAAACAGACAGGAAGAATGAGAACAGCAATCACAGAAGCAAAGCCTAGCACCAAACTGACTCGAGGCAGAAGATAATCTTACAGCTACAGTGAACAGCTCTAACATGAGTAATAAATCCTAATCACAGGTCATTCAGTAATTAGTGATAACTTAATGACAGGTGAGGAATTAAGCATGTTAGCCACCATGCAGCTGAGTCCCACCTTCTGAGGAATCATTAAATGAAATATGTTAGGGTAATAATATGGTCTGCATTCGTTTTTCCCTTTCACTACAGTTTTTATCATTTACAGCTAAGTATTATAGAACGAGGTGAAGTATTCATGTTAGCTGTTTACGTGTTCTACCTAATCAATTTTGCAACTTGCCAACTAAATCACATTGTGCATAAATATAAGCATTGAGGCTACAGTTAGGAAAGATGGAAAACAAATCACAGTACAGTTTTCATTAATCCGCTTAAAAATACAGAAAAACCACTAAGAGTAATTTCCCATAAGTTCCCATAAGTTTTAAAGAACACATAAGTTTTTATGACCAAAATTAAAATAAAGTCAATTTTATCATTTGTTTATTTTTGTTATACTCCCCTTAAAAGACATGGCCAAATTATATATACAAATATATAAACGTTTTATTGTAAGATTTATACCTTTAATTACATCTGCAAAGTCTTTTAGGACATATAATGATGTGACCTAAACTTACTAATTAATTAAAATAAACATGAAAAAGTTCTCTTTCCTGGATTATGTGGCTATTTTACTGATTCCATGTAAAATTATGGAGGATTTAAAAATCTTAAAAAAATAAAATGAGATCAATGACATCAACAGTTCTAACTTTCCAAAGTGTGAATTCTTGGGGTAGGGGTGTGGAGTTAGGACCTGTGCTTTATTTCTGATACACTGTCTCTTTATCGTCTGATTTGTTTCACCTCAAACTGAAACTTATGATTGTGCTTCCTAATAGTGACAAGAAAACTGAATACCAAAGCAGTTGGTATATGCCTGTGGTGGCTTAGTGAGCACACAGCAGATTCACAGAAGTTCATAACTTTAATGTAGCTCCCCTTCAGGCAAACCTCATGCTCAGAACAGACATCTATACAGTTTAGAAGCTTTTAAATCTGTTGAGGCTTTACAATACATAAAGTAGCTTTGAGGAATGTTTGATAGGTACTTAAAATTTTCCAAGCAAAAACTGATACTCAAATGTCATCTCCAAATTAAAGAAAAAAATGAAAACAGTGTTCTTATTAGCTGAGGAATTTTTCAACACACTTCTATTTGTTCACTGCTCATGGTTTCACAATATTAATTTGGCTAATGTGAACAGTATAGATAAGGTATAAAGGTTTGTAGCAGTCAAATCTGTTTTGAAGCCATTCTCAAATACTCACTGATATGCGGAAACATCACTATTTAGCATAATTATGTGGTTAGTTATTATGTGTCTCTGAAGAACACATATCTTTAATAGTATTTTTATTTGGTGCTGGGAAATGAAGTACTGAGGTATATTAAATACATACTCTTGCCAGGCAGTTATACCACAAGCCCAGAACACTTACTTTGTATCAACAATGCATATATCCCATTAAAGATTCAATGGAACATCGTTTATTTATATAGCAAAATCAGAACTTTAAATTTTATTATTTGTTTCTTCTTTTTAAACATTAATTTTGAAATGTGTATATAAAGAGGGGTTCATAAAAAGTCATTTAGTGAACATCAAACATGAGATAATACACATAGTGTGTAAAAATAAAGAGTAAACAAATGTTGACTTTCAAGTGAACTTGGAGAGGTAAGTTAGTTCTTGAAATCTGCCACAAGTTTTTAAATGACTTCAGTTCATCTGATCATATGACACAGTGTGGCTCTCACAATCAAAATGCTGCTTGCTCTCATGGAGATTAGGTTTATTATGACAACTCCTCTCTGGAAACCCTTGAGAACTTAATTTGAAATTTTAATTTAACCTTTTCTACTAATTAGATATAAATACAATGGCAAAAACAGATTAAGGACAGAGTAAGAAGGACAATCCAGGTTAGGCTTGCAAACTAGCGTATGGAAGATGCTATCCGGATTGTTTAGACTGTGGGCTACCACACTTAGAAGACAATGCCTCTGTACTTACCCGCGACCTGGAAGTAGGTACACCTTAACAAAAGGGTCAGAGTAGCCATTGTTGTCTCTGGGAACAAGATTTCTTGCTTGAAGAATATGTATTATAAGATTTCCAAGATCATAGTTGATTTGAAGCTTAAGGGTGTAGAAATAATTCCATAAAAAAATACGAAACAGTATCATTTAATACTTTACTAGTTCTTTCAGCACTTTATAAGAAATTATCTACTTCATCTCCATTTTATTTGAAATTAAACAGTTGATGCCCAATTTAACTGGATGCTCCCAGGCATGCCTGGATTTCAGTAGACACGCTCTTCATGTTTTCTGGACCCTGCACAGTGAACAGTCTTGACATAGCTTAAGTTGGCCTAGAAGAAAAATTATACGCTAAATATTTATTATGTTTTTGTACTGAAAATACATGCTGCCTCAAGAGACTGCTTCTTAAACTTTTACCATTTGTTCCTAAAGATTACAAGGAGCTCAGAGATCAGTCCAAAGGAAGCACGGGCTATCCTCACACACAGGGTCTTTGGGATCTTTACGGTTATGAGTGTATGTGTGTCACTGGGATAAGGCTTTGCCACACAAGAGGAAATAACCAGAACACCAGCTTTAAGAACATTTGGACTCAGTGGTTCCTGGCCTGTGAATTATGACACCTTTGGCAAACCTTTATCAACAAAAATATTTACAATATAATTCATAACAGTAGCAAAATTACAGTTACAAAGTGGCAATGATGATAATCTTAGGGTTTGGGGGTGGGGCTCACCATGAGGAAATGAATTAAAGGTTTAAGACATTAGAAAGATCGAGAAGCACTGCTGACTTCCAAGAGGCATTGTGTCAGGATAAGTTTCAACTTCAGCATTAAGTGTTACTGCTGAAGGGTCAGATGAAGGGAAACAAAGAAGCTAACATTAAACCAAACAGAAGCAGCAAACATTAGTCTAAAGGCAAGAAGTTAAAAAAATGTAGAAGGGAAAAAAGTAAGAATCAAAAGTTGGAGGTTGTATTTCCTGTGTGGCCTGTGAAATGATGAGAGACAGGTCTGGTGAAAACCCTTCTTAACACTGGCAACCAGCAGAGGCACAGCAACACCAAGAATGCAAAACAAGACTGGCTCAATCCCACCAGTTCCTTCCAGGTGAGGTGCCCTGGGACACCCCTCTGCATTTCCACTGCTTCACTCTAGCTTTGCCTGTGTGTGTAGCCACTTCACTGGTTTTCCAGTCTTTGTACCCTTGCCCTTGTAATATCTCTGTAAACTATGGATACACAGAATTTTAGTACATGAGTTTTTTTTTTTTAAATCTTTTCTCCATCAGTCTGCCTCTTAATCTAAAACATATAATGCACTGTATTATATGAGAGATAGTTCACTTGTGCTTGCACCCAAAGTTCTTTCTGGAAGTGTCAGCCTCTCAGAGATGATTCCAACATTGCTTGACTCTGAACACAACAGCTTTCTTTGTGCTGCTGCTGTCAGTAACACACTCTCACCCCTCTATGCTTCCTGAGACATTAAATCATATCTCTGTTACCCTGTAAAGTCCATTGTGAGAATCTAATTTACACTACATTGGAGACAAACCCATTTTTCCTTATTGGACTGCTGTTATCTTTTGATAACTAATTTGTACTATGTTATATATTTCTATGTTATGACATTTCTCATCTACCTTGAATTACATTTTGATATTACCTAAAGCCAAATTAGAAAATATTTTACTGTTATTCACAATAAGATATAAACTATGACAATACAATTTACAAGTAAAAATCTACACACAAAACTAAAGCTGCAATTTTCTGTAATTTCAATTCTACTTTACAGTCAAAATTCTTTCAGGTGATTAAATAAATTACAAAGTTCTTATGACCTACAGTATTAAAAACTTTCCTATGATAGAAATTTATCAATTAATTAGAAGTTATTGATTTCCATCCCATTTGCTTTTCTGAGTGAGGATTGATCATCTTATCCAGGGACCTTCTTGCTTAGCTTCTTTAGGTGTACAGATTTTAGTATGTTTATCCTATATTACATGTCTAATATCCACTTATAAGTGAATACATACCACATGTGTCTTTCTGCTTCTGGGATACCTCACTCAGGATGATCTTTTCTAGTTTCCACCATTTGCCTGCAAATTTCATGATTTCCTTGTTTTTAATTGCTAAAAAGGGAATAATACAGGAGCCTACCACAGAGGGCCCCTGAAAGACTCTACCCAGCAGGGTATCAAAACAGATGCTGAGACTCACAGCCAAACTTTGGGCAGAGTGCAGGGAATCTTATGAAAGAAGGGGGAGACAGAAAGCCCTGGAGGGGACAGGAGCTCTACAAGGAGAGCAACAGAAACAAAAAATTTGGGCCCAGGGGTCTTTTCAGAGACTGATACTCCAACCAAGGACCATGCATGGAGATAACCTAGAACCTCTGCTCAGATATAGCCCATGGCAGCTCAATCTGCAAGTAGGTATCTTAGTAAGGAGACAGGGACTGTCTCTGACATGAACTCAGTGGCTGGCTCTTTGATAACCTCCCCCTGAGGGGGGAACAGCCTTACCAGGCCACAGAGGAAGACAATGCAGCCAGTCCTGATGAGACCTGATAGGCTAGGGGCAGATGGAAGGGGCAGAGGACCTCCCCTATCAGTAGACTTGGAGAGGGGCATGGAAGGAGATGAGGGAATGAATATGGGATTGGGAGGGAATGAGGAAGGGGGCTACAGCTGGGATGCAAAGCAAATAAACTGTAATTAATATAAAAAAACTAAAAAAGAAAAAAGTCATTGATTTAACAAAAGACATCACTGGAATTATGAAACTTGAAGACTGGCCATCAGTTTTTTTGGAAGAAGAAGCTGTGTACGAAACTCATTCAACAGGTACACACCTCCTGAAGCTCAGCATCTACTGACAGAAGATTTTGCAGTCTGGAGTTCCAAAGCTATGACAAACATGTACATGGTATGCTATAACATTGTCCTTCCTACAGAGTTTTGTATATGTTATATGATATGAAAGAACCAGTCTGTTAGAAATTCTGATAGACAAATGCAAAAAGCAAAAATAAAGTAAAATAAAATAAAGTTTAAAGGTTTTTCATACCTGAATTTCTCCTGTAATTGGATGGGAGGAAGCCTTCGCTGCTGCATCAGTAGGCTGAAAGATTAAAGACCACATACTGCATTAATAAATAAGCAATTCATAGGTATTCTCATTTTTAAATTTTATTATTATTAATATTTATTAACATTTATTAACATTGTATCCCTGCTATATCCCCCTCCCTCATCTTCTTCCATTCCTACCCTCCCTCATTCTCCTCTCCCTATGTCCCTCCCCTAGTCCACTGATAGCAGAGGTCCTCCTCTCCTACAATCTGACCCTAGCCTATCAGGTCTCATCAGGACTGTCTGGATCCTCTTTCTCTGTGGCCTAATTAGGCCACCTCACCAGGGGGAGGTGATCAAAGAGCTGACCACTGAGTCCATGTCAGAAACAGTCCCTGCTACCCTTACTAGGGAACCCACATGGAGACTGAGCTGTCGATGGGCTATATTGTGAGCAGGGGATCTAGGTCCTCTCCATGCGAGGTCCGTGGCTGATTCATCAGTCTCTGCAGGACCCCCTGAGACCAGAATTTTTGTCCCTCTTGGTCTCTTGTGCACCTCCTGTACCCCTCCAGGTCTTTCTATCTCTCCCTTCTTCCATTAGATTCCCTGCACTCTGCCCAAAGTTTGGCTATGAGTCTCAGCATCTGATGAGCAGAGTCTTTCAGAAGGCCTCTGTGGAAGGCTCCTGTGCAGTTCCATGTCTTCTCCTACTTCAGATAGGTGTTCTTATTTTAACTGTCTTTTAAAGTTAACTTCTATTGGTTGTAGCATACTGCCTGCAAAATACCTCTTATCCATTTGGTTGCTGCAGAATTAGAGCTTTTACTTACAATTCTCAAACTTGTTCAATTTTAGGAGACATAAATCTATTTTTCATTTTGAAAAACCTGCTCTGGAGCCATGATTTTATGTCAGAATTAAGTATTTTCAATTACTTAAATAAAAATGAATACTCTTACTTTAAATCACTTTGCTTAAACATTTAGAGGTTTTAAAGCTCTGTATATAATGAAATGATTTACATAAGTCTGCCTAGGAGCACAGAAGGTGGCATGAAAGTCACCTTCTGTGCTGCCCTCCTTCTAGCTCCTTGCACACTGAAGCTCTCAAGCAACAGACCATCTTTAATTAAAATTGATCTTTTCAGTTAAGTTTTCCCTTTTCTCATAACTCTTAAGCTAAAGAGAGTTTTCAAAACAATTAAGAAAGAGATCCATCAGGCAGACATGATGGCATATGCCCTTACTCCCAGCACTGAAGAGGCTGAGGTAAAAGGACCATTGTAAATTCAAGGCTAGCCTGGTCTAGATAACAATTTCCTGGTTTTTCAATGCTACACAGCAAAAGTATGTCTCAAAAAAATAAATAAATAAATAAATAATGAAATTAAAGGAAGTAATGTAAACTAATTCACGCTCCTGAATAAATGCTTGCTTATAAACTTGTTACATTTCCATTATATTTTTATACATAGGTAGAGATAATGTCTGAAGCATCTCTCTACAGGGTTATCCTGAAGTTTTGAGGATACCATGACAGCAAATTATTATTTCATAAGAACACCTAAAAGGAGGAAATATTTCAGTTAAAATTTTTACACTACAATTTAGAAAATAAAAGAATCCAGATTTTGAAATATAAAAACAAAGAAAGATTTTAGACCTCTCTATCAGTGGACTTGGGGTGGGCATGGCCAAAGATGGGGGGGTGGGCTTGGGAGGAGATGAGGGGGGGCTACAGCAGGGATACAAAGTAAATAAACTATAATTCACAAAAAATTAATTAATTAAAAAATTTTTTAAAAAGGAAATGAGTTAAAATTCCAGTGCTAACATTTTCACGACAAAACTACACACTGATTTATTTAAAGCAAAATAATAAATTAAAATAGTCTAATATTTGCTTGTAGATTTTGTTGCTAAATCATGTATACTAAAATCCTATTGTATTTCATATATACGACAAGTGAAAGTTGTAAAAGTTATTTGCTAATAGTCTAATAAAGTATATCCTTTTCAGAATAATTATTAAAACACAGAAAATGATTCTTTGAACAGTTATATAATTTTAAAGTTTATTAAAATAAATAAGAATCATATTATATATATATATTATTTAAAAAGCAACCATTCAAAATATTGTTGGTGAACCATCAGTTGTTTACATATAATTTTAAAAATGTAGGAGAAATGTTCAACAGTGGCCTGGGGAACAATTCTTGTCTGTGACCCCAAGTTCATGGACAGCGAAACTTAAAATTGACAAGTGGAATTAAATTGGACTTTCAAACTTCTTCAAGCTAAGAAAACAAACAACACATATATACACACCTCTCAAAACAGAGAACCTCAGCAAAACATATCTGACAATTATTTCACCAATATATAAGAAACTTCAAAAGCTCAGTACTACAAATGAAATAACTATAAAAAGTAGACCATAGTCCAAAATAAATATCTCTCGAAAGAGACAACATACTGATTGATCAGGCGTATAAAAAACTATTTCCAGGCCTTCCCTCCCCTCCCCAGTCATCAGAGAATCACAAATTAGACCAACAATGACGATCAGATCTACAAACAGCCAAAGGAATGGCTATTATTAAAAAGCCTCTGATGGAAAGTAGTGGAAAGACTGAGGTGAAAAGTGCCCCTGTACGTGGTTCGTGGGATTACAGATGATCACAGCCATTTTAAAACAGTATTCTAGATCCTAAAAAAAAAAGTGAAGCGGCTCCAGCAATGCATTCCTGGCCACATGTCAAAAGGAAATGGAATCTGTATTTTGAAGAGGCCTTTTCATGCCCACATATATGTCGGCAACATTAACAATAGCAAAGTCATGGTAACCTCAGTTTGTCAAGTGGTGAGTGGATAAAAGATAAACGAAATGTGCCATACACCCCATGGCATGCTATTGAGCTATAAAAATATCCAAAATCCTGTTGTTTGTAACATGTATGAGTTAAAAAATTAATCCACGCACAGAAAGACAAGTACTGTATTATTTACTCAGATGTGGAATCTAAACCCATGTTTTTCACAGAAATAGAGACCAAGTGGCAATTTACCAGAGAGGAGGTGAGGGAAGAGAAAGAGGGAGTCACATGAGGAGGAGATCTAGAGTTCTGTTGCAAAGCTGGGTAAACATAATTAACAACAATGTAATATTTATCTAAAATATTTAGAAAAATGAATGTTGAACATGCCCAGAAAGAATAAATAGTAATCATTGCAGGTGATTAATATGCTAATTACCCTGAGCAGATCATCCCACACCACTTTACAGAAGTGTCAGTGAAATGACTCCGTGGGTAAAGGGCTTGTAGCCAAGTCTGACAAGAGTGGGGCTCCTTGTTGGAAAAAAGAGACTTTGACCAACACATATGCACTGTAGCAAGCACAGGCCTGCTCCCATCAGCACATAATAAATAAAGAAAACAAAACATTTTGTAAGAAAATAATTTTAAAAATCACAAAATACTTCACAAACACATGCAAATATTTTAATAAAGAGTATTGAATGAAAATGTTTCAAAGATATTCTAAACATCTGAATATATATTAATATTAGTTATAATTTGAGTAATTTAGATTTAGTGTATTATCTTACATCATTTAATAAGACAGAGCAAGAAAGAAAGTAAAGTGAAAGATGATAGGCAAGCCTTTAAGGTAAGCCTTTATATTTTCATTTAAATATACACACACCCACACGCACACACACACATGCACACATTCAACACACTCTCTCTATATGTAAATAATAACCAGATTTGGTTAGTGGGTCAGTGTCACTGCTAAAAGTAAATAATCTCTGTGCTAGAACTGTCCAAATGGAGACTATCTGAGTCACAGAAGAAACTAAAACTTTCTAATAAGCATACTAAAAGCAAAGAGGAAATATTATAATATTTATATTTGTCCTAAATATCATCACTTTACCATGTTAGCAAAATAAAAATTGTGTTAATATATTTGAGTCTTTCTTTTTTTTTTTTTTTTTTTTGTCACAGAGTCGCTGGAATTCGGTCAGCAATTCATATATACAGAAATGTCGGCTAGACCAGCTGCATGTGATTGGCAGTTGCCTTTGGCCAATGAGAAGCTGGAACTATGTATTTCTGCCGAGTGTTACCAAGCTACACAGGTGCGAATTATTGGAAAAGTAAAGGACGACGACATGCAACAACAGCTGCCAGCGCCACTTTCCTAGCGCCGTCCCATTTCTAGGGTTTTCAGCTTCCAGGCATGGTACACAAAGCTAACACATTATATATAAAAAGGCAATTTGTGAATTTGCACCCATAACGAGAACACAGGTTCATAGGTGATCCGCTGACATTTCAATTCAGAGATATTTTTCTTACTGTTCTGTTCAAGTCATTCAGCTACAATACGTGAAAAAAAAAAAAAAGAAAAGAAAAAAAAAGAAAAAAAAAAGGTCCTTAAGTGGCACATGTAGCCACTTAAAAGGGGTATAAACTAAAACCTGATAACTACTAGTAAGCGGAGCACAGGCTGGCTCTGACATGAATTCTGCAACAGGCTCTTTGTTCACCTCCGGCTTTGGGGGGGGGGGGGCAGCGGGAGCAGCTTTGCCAGGCCACAGAGGAAGACAATGCAGACAGTCCTGATGAGACCTGGTAGGCTAGGGTCAGATAGAAGGGGAGGAGGACCTCCCCCATCAGGAGACTAGGGAAAGGGCATAAGGGGAGGATGGATGCGACTAGGAGGAGACAAGGGAGAGGCTACAGCTGAGATACAAAGTGAATAAATTGTAATAAACAAACAGACAAATGACTAAACAAACAAATAAAAATCCCTGATAACTGCAGTCTATGTACAAATTGTCTTAAGAGACACAGAAGTCACCTTTGCGAGGAAGGGAAGAGGGCAGGCAAGCAGGCAAGCAGACAGATTACAAGGCTAGGAGGCATGGAGGAAGATAGCATGGAGGCAGCAAGAGGAGAAGGAAGCAAGGAAGGAGAGAAGACATGTAGTTCTCTGATTGTGTAGCTCTTTTCAGGTTCTGCTCACTTCTTAAATGTTGTTCCCTTTCTTCCTTTTATAGAAATTATTTTTTAACCACCACCTTTCCTGATCCCACTGTCCTAAGTGTCCTCAATCTTCTCATACCCACTAAATTTGGCTGTGGGCTTGTACTCCAGGGGAATGTGACTCCTTAAACTCAATGGTCATAGACAGTGTCTGTGACTGAGACCAGAGGCTCAGAGGCTCTGAGGCTCTGTAAGCCAGAGGCTGAGACCATCATAAATGCAATACTGATTACCAGGCTATCAGGGCAGATATAACAGCATGATGTCTACTACCATTTCTAAGAAAGGAAGCTCACATCCTTTCTAGGTCCTTTTAGAATTACTATGAGCCTGTCCCAGGAGAGGTGGCAGAGTGGACATCCAGGTAGCAAGAATGCCTCCTAAATAGGAGAGTGACGTGTCAGAAAAGTTACACATTGTATTGTCAGCTGAGATTACAAGGTTGAAGTATTACTGCATTGTCCACCTTTCGTTTTCCAGTAACTGTAAACAAACAGCACCAGAAATGCTTGCTTCAAGTACAGATACATACATGGAGAACAACCAATAGCTGGAATGGGAATAGAATCCAGAATGGAAATCATGTCATTGCTGTCCTTTATTTCCTTTTGTCCTAAATTATTTCCATTTCTTTGTGCTTTAAATGACAGAAACCTAGCAGAATACATATCTTTTTGTTTCAAAAGGTCATAAAGCTAATGTTGTATATAGATGGAGACAGATTTGTGTAGCAATGACACCCTGACACATCAAAAATAGGAAGTAGCACATTGTTCAAAGTTGTCAACAGAAAAACAGAAATATCTGCAGAGCTGTGCTTGACTGGGACAGCGAAGCCATCAGAAGAGGGAAATGTTTGTCTCAGTAGCTCATTAGCACATGGACCATCACAAGATAACTCTTCCTAAGGCTACTTCACTTCCCATCTGCCTTCCCCCCAGATTTAACAGCCGGAATTGGCTGCATGTGGTGACATGTGTGGGACCTTTCTCACCTTGCTGCTTCCGTGCTTCTTCTTGCTCACTGAGGGCGAGCCTGGCTGCCCAGGGCTGGGGACAGAACTGGATCCTGCTGACGTAGGACCCGAGTGAGCGTGAGACCCCTTCTCCACGACTGAGGACATGACCAGTGGCGACTGCTGGAGGGAGACTTTCTGCAGCTCTGCTGCCAACTGCTTGGGATCCACCCCTGGGGACTTGGCCTTATCTGCTAGAACAGAACAAAAGGCTTTATGCCTTGGGTTCCTGTGTTGGACATCCCAAGGCACTGGTTGGAGTTTTAGGTGATGATACAACATTAAGGACCAAGTTGAACTTTCAAAACCAAATGTACTCAAGTGCAGCTTTATGCATCTATTCCTAGGAAAATCCAGAAGACCCAGATATCAGTGTTATGAGGAATTACAGGGGCAATATGAAGTTCTGATAAGTGTTCAAAAAAGTATTTTGAATATTTTATTAAATGAACTATGGAGATGACAAAATACCCTATTTTATCACAGAGAACTACCTTGTAAAAACACATATTTTCTCCTTTCTAAATCTTTTATATATTGCTCTTTATTGAAGAAACTTCACTTAGCATAACATAGTATATGATAAATATATTTTTACATGTATGTATAAAATCCCTGTTGGATGTGGCCTGTTTATTTCTGTAACCCAGACTTCATAGTAACACTGTAATAACAACAACAAAAGACCAAGTTGTGCTAAAAACAAAGAGTAGGAACTAAAAATTATATGATTAAAAAGGAATGGCTCAAAATTTGTCTTCACAAGATGAATTTATATTTAATCAATTTAAAACATAATTTCACATAGTAATATTTAATATAGATTTCTTGCCTCATCTAACAGTAAAATATATAGCAGGTGCACAAATCTATACTTCTGTTTGTATCTATGTCAAAATACACTACATTTGCATATATCTTTTCATCCATGGTTGAAACCAGATTGCTACCACCTACCAACTTTTGGCGGCTCATGCAGTTCTAGGTGCTGTGGATTTTCGGAATCTGACAACATATTGAGGTCCCTAAAAATTAAGACAGATTATTAAGAAAGACACTGTGGAAGACTGAAGCAAAATGTACCTTTTCCAAGTGCCCTGATTTTATTTTCAGGAGGTCAATGAGAAGTGGTTCATGATATAAAGCAACTCGCAGGCATGCTCACCCCACTAGCCCAGTATATATTAGCAATGTTGTTAAAAGTCAAAGCTGATAAAAATGATCATTTAAGGTGAAATCTTTATGATTAAACACAAGACATTTCAAAATGTTCTAAACATTTATAAAATCTAAGTGGGCTCTGGCCTTCTTTTAAATGAAACATGTTTTAATAGAAGCATCAAGGGGAGAGAGCTGAGACATAATCACAAACTGTTGGCTGGGTTCTGCCTATGCCTTAGCCTTTGATTCAGAATACAAGAAAGCCATAAATGTTGTATTTGCTTTATTTTCTAATTACTGAAAATCTTGCTGACTGGCAAAGGTTCCACCTTAACAATTTTAAATTAAAAAAGACATGAATAGCCAAAAAATGGGAACAGAAAGATGGGGAAAAACTCACAGTCTTACACATATTTCTGCTTCCCCACTTTGCTGATTAATGATGCTCTGTACTTCTTCATATGTTTTAGAAGTTAAGGGAATCCCATTCCATTCCAAAACTTGCATCCCTAAAAAGACAAATATGAGTACAAAATAAAACGTGTGTGTACTATCTTCAGTCTTAGTTTACAGGGCACAACAGACTTTCTGCTTGCTTTTGAAAGCCAAATCAGCATATCATTTCAGAGAACATTGGTTCAATGTTCTCCAGAAAATTATTATGGAGTCAGATACAAACTTACCTGAACACATAATATGTTTAAGACAACATGCAAATTTTGCTTTTGGAAACCTATTAATTCTTACCAAATACATGCATTCTGTTCACACTTTTGTAAAGAAAAAGATGCTGAATAAACACACGAGTAAGAGTAATTGCAACCATGGGCTTAAGAGTATTGACTTCCACATTCTTTCATAGAATGGGATGATTACAAAGTCACTAGGATTTCCTGATGAAGATCTGCTCTTGATTTTGCCCCCAAAATAAGATTGTACTGTGTGTGTCTTCTGTCTCACTGCATGGCAGATATTTCTGCCAGGAAGGCCAGCTTTGTGGGTCTGACCTGTACAATAGTACAAGGCCCTGTATTCTGTATCTTGAAAATCTACCTTTTCATTTTTCATAGAATCCAATAAACTATGCACCTCTCCTGCCTGGTCAAGTCATATCATTTATACTAGTTATATCGATCTGAAAAGACAATTTTATGCAAAAATAATATAGTAATATTTAATGTTTAAACATTTTATATTCAGGTTTTTTTTGGTTTATTTTGTGAGTTGTCAAAATACCCTAATCGTGCATATTTGATATTACTTACATGACCCTAAAACATATATAAAATAAAATGAACATGTAGCTGAAAATCATCTAATACAGTGCCCAAATATTTGTAAATGGTATTAGATTTACCCTAGAGAAAATGGCTGAATGCCATGACATAGTAAACAAAAAAATAACAATTACTGAATTATTATATCTTTAATAAATTCCACACAGGTTGTAATTCCGTCTTGCTTACTTCGGCACTGGTTCAACAGAAAATTATAAATATGGAATGGTTGTGTCTTTAAGTTTTAATGGTAGTGTAGCCATCGGGAGGCATGTTACCAGTTGCAATTATTGAAAGAAATGCCTTTATACTGTAGAAGAATAACAGAAGAAGTCCATCAAAGGGCTCACAGTTACACAAGAAAGACTTTTCTATAACTTACTCCAAGAAAATGTTATCTTCAGATGGGTCTTAGGTTTATTTCAACTGTCCCAGCTGAAAATAAGAAAATCATTTAAAAGATAATGATACCAAGAATAACTCAACAGAGTGAAAGCAGAGAGAGAACCTTTTTTTTTTAAGCCAGAAGGAAAACCTCCATTTATTCTGAATTGAAAATGTAATGCTGTAATAACTTAGCTATTACCTCTTCGTGTTTCTATAGAGTCATATTCCACAGAAATAGTCAAAGGTGTATTTTCTTTCTATTGCTTGTCTGTTCCATTCTTTACATTTTAGAACAAAGGGGACACTGTCAAAATTTAATTGTCTAGTGAAAAAAAATGTATGTAGTCATAATGAAGGAAAACACATTTTTTATTTTCAGTAACACTGCTGAAAAGATTCTTGCCCATATACATATATATATATATATATATATACACACATATATATATATACACTCAGAGATTCTTCTGTGTTCCAGAACAACACCTGAACTTTTGCACTCATCTTTTTTTTCCATGTTATTCTATGCATTTGTGAAAGCTAAAACTATTCTACCAGTTATTTTTTTCTGGTCTGGAACCCATGCTGATGTACTATGAAATGGGCCACTACTTTCACCATAATTATTTAATGCTTCCCATTTCAATGTCTCTTACTTTCTTCAAGAGAATGGAATGCCACTAGTATTAATGTCACAAAATATTTATAGAACAATGAGTTAAATGTCATATAATTTCAAAACAATATATTTGATTCAAGATGCAAACAGAAGGAAGGATAATAACTGTAGAATCATCTCAGTAGTCAAATAAAGGAAATTTGATAATATTTTAGTAGCCTTTATAAAATAAAGAATAAACTTAGTATAGAAGAGATGTATGTTATCACAGTTTAAATGAGCTATAATAAGCCAGTGGTTAATATTACAATGAATAAAAAAGATTGAACACTTCTCTCTGTGGTCCGGTATATATCAAGGATGCCCATACCCAGCACTTTGACTCAGCATAGATCTTTATGTGCTAGTTCAGGCACTCATGCAAGAGAAAGAAAGGAAAGGCACCAGGGCTAGGAGACAGCAGTCATAGTCTCACTGCTCACACACACAATCTTACAACCAGAGAACCACAAAGGTATTATCAAATAAGTACTTAAGGCTGATAAATTTAGCAAAGATGCAGGATACAATACCAAGGTACAACAATCAGTAGCATCACTGTAATGGCAGTATTTTAGTATAAATAGAAACCAAGAAAGCAAACTCTTTTATAATTATAACAAGATTTAAAAAATAAAGTAATAAATTTAATTGATTATTAATTGAATATATTTAATTGATTATGTGAAAGTTATTTAGAATATAAAGTATAAAGCAGTCATGAAAGCCATTGATTATGATATAAAGTCATGTGAATAGAAGTATATGTCCATAGTCTTCAAGAATTAAATTTAAAAGTTGCATTGAAGACAGCCAGCAAGGGTGAGCTACACATTGTGCACAACATATACCCACTTCCATCTCCATGAGGCCTTTGGGGGTCCCCAACAACATTCAGTGTAGGGCCCCTTCTGCCTCTTCCCTACAGCCTGATCTACCTGGGGGCACAGCTAACAGAGGTGAGCTTCACATTATCCCTGACCTCCATCCTCTGACATACCTAGGAGGTTTGTAGGAATCCCAACAACATTCAACATAGAACCCAACTGCTTGATCCAGCTGGGCACACCCAGCAGAGGCCTGTGGTACCCCCAAAACATTCAGGTTCACCTGAGGTACAGATACCAGAGGTGAGCAGCAGGCTCTTCCCTGAGGTCCACTGTCTGGCTAAAGGCTCTGCCTGACACCCTGAGGAGTCCTGCAGCAGAAACATTTGGCCAACACCAAGGATAGCCAGATAGCTAAAAGTCAGCCTGAGACCACAATCAACAGGAGTCAGGGCAATATGGCACCACCAGAGCTGAACTATCCTACAGCAAGCTGTGGATATCCCAACATAGCTAATGCACAGGAAGATGATCTTAAATCCACCTTTATAAACATGATGGAGACCTAAAGAGGAAATGAATAAATCCCTTAAAGAAATACAGGAAAATAGTATCAAACCGGTGGAGGCCTTTAAAGAGGAAAAATAAATAAATCTCATAATGAAACATAGGCAAATACAATTGGAAGGTGAAGGAAATGAATAAAACTGTTCAAGATCTGAAAATGGAAGTAGACTCAATAAAGAAAACAAAAACTGAGCTAATCCTAGAGATAGAAAATCTAGGGAAGAGAACAAGAACAACTAACATAAGCATCACCAACAGAAGTGAAGATACAGAAAAGAAAAATCTCTGGTGTAAAAGTTACAATAGAATAAATCAATATAACAGTCAAAGAAAACATTAGATCTAAACATCCCTGACACAAAACATCTGGGAGATCCGGGGTACCTTGAAAAGAAATAACATAAGAATAATAGGAATAGAAGAAGGTGAAGAGTCCTAGCACCAAGGACCAGCAAATACTTTCAACAAAACCCTAGAAGAATATTTTCTCAACCTAAAGAATCAGATGCCTATAACCATACAAGGAGCATACAAAACACCAATTAGATTAGATTATAAAAGAAAATCTTCCTGCCACATAATAATGTAAACACTAAATCCACCATGCTAAGAAAGAATAGTAAAAATTGCAAGGGAAAAAGATCAAGTAACCCAGAAAGGCAGAACTATCAAAATTACATCTAACTTCTCAGCCAAGACTCTAAAATCTAAAACGGCCTGGAAAGATGTCTTTCAGCCTTTACAAAACCACAGATCCCAACCTAGACTACTATATCCAGCAAAACACTCAGTCACCATAGATGGAAAAAATAAGACATTCCATGAAAAATAATTAAACAATATCTTTTCACAAATCTATTTACAAATACAGAAAATACTATAAGGAAAACTCCAACCTAAGGAGGTTAACTACACCAAAAAAGCACAGGAAATAAATATAATTCCACACCAGCAAAAACAAAAGAAGAGAATCACACACACACACACACACACACACAAACATACACACTAACAACATCAATATCAAAATACAAGAACTAACAATCATTGATTGTTAATATCTCTCAATATCAATGTACTCAGTTCACCAATAAAAAGACACATGCTAATGGAATAGATGTGAAAATAGGATCCATTATTCTGCTGCATTCAAGAAACATACCTCAGCAAAAAAGATAGACAGAATAAAAGGCTTGCAAAAGGTTTTCCAAGCAAAAGGGCCTGTAAAGCAAGCTGGAATGACCATTCTAATATCTAATAAAATAGACTTTCAACAAAAATTAATCAAACTGGATGGTAAAGCACACTTCATATTCATAAAAGGAAAAAAAAAATACAGGAAGATGATGTCCCAATTCTGAAAATGTATGCCCCAAATGTAATGGCATCCACATTTGTAAAAGAAACATTACTAAAGCTTAAATCACACACTGAACCCCACACATGGAACCCTACACATTAATAGTAGGAAACTTCAACACCCTTCTGTTGGGCCTGATAAGGCCTGCTGTATCTACTTGAGCCTGGCTCGAGTTTGGAGACCTATCTTTAGCTTCTGATTTAAGAGGTGCCACTTCCGGGGAAAAATGATTCAGCATATCCACCTTAAAATCAACCCTGCCTGGTAACTGTTATGTGGAGTTTTGTCGCTGGCCCACCTCTCCTTTCACTACCTAACCTTGCCCTCTACGTTGTCTTACCTCACTTCCTTAACTCTGCCTCCTGACCCAAACCTATAAAAAAGGACAGCTTTATTCAATAAACCGAGTTCCTGCTTCGACAGATCTCCCAGC